TATATATATATAGTTTCTAAGCAAAATAAATAAATAAATGGTCCTGGAAAAACTGGCTTTCCACATGCTGAAGATTGAAACTAGACCCATATCTTTCACCATGTACTAGCCTAAAACTGAAATTGATCAGAGATTAAACAGAAATCCTAAATCTACTGGAAGAGTGAATAAGTAGAACACTTGAGGACATAGGAGTAGGCAAAGACTTCAAGAACACAACCCAGACTGCACAAGAAATACTACAAAGAATCAACAACTGGGACCTCATCTTACTAAAAAGCTTTTGCACAGCAACAGAAACCACCAACAGAGTGAAGAGACAACCCACAGAGTGGGAAAAATTTTTTAGCAGCTATTCAGATAAAAGGACTATTATCTAAAATATATAAAGAACTCAAAAAAATCAACCCCCCCAAATTTAAAGACCCAATGCAAAAATGGGCATCTGAAATAAAAAGACACTTCTCAGATGAAGAATTAAAAACAGTAAATATATGAAAAAATGTTCAACATCACTGGTCATTCGAGAGGTGCAAATTAAAACCGCGGAGATTCCATCTCACTCCAGAAAGAATGGCTGCTATCAAGAAATCAACCAATAGGGCCAGAGATTTAGCTCAGTGGTTTTGCCTCCTGCTGCGCAAGCGCAAGGACCCAAGTTCGATCCCCCGTACCAAAAAAAAAAAAAAAAGAAATCAACCAATAACAAATGCTGGAGGGGCTGTGGGGAAAGAGGAACCCTGCTCCACTGCTGTTGGGAGTGTAGACTAGTGCAACCACTGTGGAAATCAGTGTGATTTCTCAAAAACTAAAACTAGAGGTTCCATTTGACCCAGCTATACCTTTCTATACCAAAAAGTTAAAAGCATCATACCACAGTGATATATGCATTCCCATGTTTATAGCAGCACAGTTTGTAATAGCTAAATCTTGGAAACAGCCCAAATGCCCATCAACAGATGAGTGGATAAAGATGTGGTTTTTTTATACAATGGAGTACTACTCTGCCATAAGGAAGGATGGGGTTCAGACATTTCTAGCTAAATGGATGGAACTTGAGACCATACTCTTAAGTGAAATAAATTGGATATATATGTTTAAATATCACAGTTTCTCTGGTGTGAGAAACTGAAAGTGGAAATAAGGACTTAAATGTATAATGGATGTTGGGAAATGGGAAGAAAGTATTCAAATGGGAAGGAGAACAAGGGAGGGGGGAGGAAGAAAGGAAGGGACAAGAAAAAAAGTGAAAATAGGAAAAAATGGAAGCAAAGCTTTTGTGCACAGGGAGGGGAGGGGGCTTGAGGGGGGCAATGGGATAAAATTTATTTAAAAAACAAAACCAAACCACCTGCTCCTGTCTAAAAATAAATTTTAAAAATGAAAAAATTATAGCAGACCCTTGACTTATGAACTCAATTCATTTGTGAGGGCTGGTTGTAACCCAAGTTGGTCAGTGAAGGCTCAGGCTCCTCTACACAGCCTTCAGGGTCTCTCTCCTGTACGCAGGCAGATCTCAGTGTCCTTAGAGAGACCCTGGCCCAAGATTTCTCAGTGAACCCCACACAGGAAAGGAAGGTGTCATGTTCCTTCCAGAGCTCTTTAAGGGTTAAATCTGTGTCTGAGACCATCTGGGAGCACAAGTGGCTGGCATTTGGGTCATTACTCAAGTCTTTGGTTATAAGTTAAAACTAGAATTCCAGTTGTAACCCAAGTTGTTATGTCAGGCTGGTTGTAACTTGAGGGTCCACTGTAAAATTAAAAATTAAATGAGCTAGGGATGTAGTTCAGTGTGAAGGCCCTGGGTTCAACGCCCAGTGCTGCCCCCCACCCCATCCCAAACACACAAAAAAGAGCTGAAATCCTGGGTCCTTCAGTAGTGTTTCACCATGGCTTGGGATTTAGCTCAGTGGCTCTGCACCTGCCTTGCAAGTTCGATCCCCGGTACCAAAAAAAAAGTTAATCAATACAGTGTTTCACCATAAAAATAAATGCCAGCTAATTGGTTTTACAGCCTATAAACCTGTGAACCAAGCTTCATTGAAAGTATACTCCAGTGATGCCAGGCATGGTGGCACATGCCTGTAATTCCAGCACTGGGCAGGCTGAGGCAAGAGGATTGTCATGAGTTAAAGGCCAGCCAGGGCTACATAGTAACCTGAAGGCCAGCCTAGGCTACATAGCAAGACCCTTTCTCTAAAAACAAACAAACCAAACCAAACCAAACCAAACCAAACAAAAAAAGTAAATTCTAATGGGGCATGGTGGGACAGCCCTCTCATCCCAGCACTTTGAAGAAGCCAGTCTTGGCTACATAGCAAGTTTAAGGCCATCTTGGACTCCATGAAGAGAGACCTTGACTCAAAAACCCACACATCCATACACACCTATGTGTGTACACTGGCGTAGTGAAACATCCTTGTATTACCAGCACTCTGAGAGGCTTAGACATGAAGTTCCCAAGTTGGAGCTCAGCCTGGGCAAGTCAGTAAGACTCTGTTTCAAAAAAACCTTAAAAAGGGCTGAGAATATAGTTTGTGTGAAGGCCCTGGGTTCAACAACCGCCAGTACCACAAACCAAAACAAACCAAACCAAAAGGAGAAGAAAAAACTGCCACTATCAATGTTTCTCTCTTGAAGTAGAACTTTGTTGTAGTAATATATTCCCAGGCATGGAAATGCATCAAATAGCTTTCACCCTGTGTTTAATCTCCAGCATCCAAAGAAAACTAAACATGAACACAACTCCCTCCATCCTGAAGGGCGCCCAAGTGAATGGTGCCCACACAGGTGTGCATGTGGGGGCTAATAATGGCACCTAGCAGCACTTCAGGCTGCTCTCCCACTGCCAGCCCCTCCTTGAACACTCAGCTGACAACACAAGGGTTGAGATCTCTACCTGTGCCTGTGTGATTTATATGACAGATAACAGCCACTTTCAAAAGTAAAGCACATGTGCAACACAGCCGTCCCTGACTCATGTTGGCTCAGCTTTATGACGATGCAAAAGCACACCCACACAGCACTGCTCTTCACTCTCGCACAGGGCTGGCTACACACACGAGCACCCTCTGTCCACTATGCAGAGGCGTGGTGTGAAGTGACTGCCCCACTGCAGGCTCGAATGCGTGTTCTGAGCACAAAGAAAGAGGGCTGGGCTCTCTGCGGTGCTGCGCTATGGCCACCTGCTGCATGGCAGGAACTGACCAGGTGCCCAGCACCTCTCAGCAGGGCACACTGAGGTGTGGGGCCTTGAAGACTCGGGCGCTGAGTGCAGAGCCACGCTGGCACAGCTAGAGCCACAGAGATGGCTCGCACAGAGGGGCAGGAGGGGCAGGTGTCTGCTACTTGCGACCAGGAGCATCCTGGGAGGATACGTCTGGGGAGGAGGGTGCCGGGGAAGGCAGCTCGGCTCACCCCGTTGTCATGAGGCTCGGAGGCCAGAGTGGGGACTCAGGGATGCACAGAGCCAGCTGCTTTGGGGGGGAGCGGGGAGCAGAGCAGAGAAGGCCCTGAGGAAGCCTGCTGTGCACAGCGGCTGTGCTCTCCCAGGGCCGAGTGCCTACCTCGGGGTCCAGGTCATCCAGAACCGTCTCCAGCTGCTTCAGCTCCAGCTCGGATAGGTTCCCGAGCAGCTCGTCCTCATCCAGGTCCTTGTACTTCTCCAGGTCCTTCCGGAAGGGCAGTGCCATGCTTCTCAGTTTTTGCTGTGCAGTGCAGTCAGAAGTGACTCAAGCTGTGTCTTAAAGGCACGACAAAAGACAGACATTTAAAGTTTCATGCCCTCTCACCTCCCTGCACCTGGTGCGTACTAGGGTAAGGGAACTGCTCCTTCCATGCCACGTAGTCTGATTGCCTATCACAGACTGCTCTGAGATCACTCAAGCCTTTTTGTCTTTTGGGGACAAAATAATAAATTGGGGGAAAAAGAGGAGGGAATGAAATTCAAATCCATTAGAGTAGCACTGAGGATTGAGAATTTCTGGTAACTGAATTTAGGGCCAAAGAAATCATAATGCAGTAGATGCCAAGTTAAACTTTCCCCTCTGTGCCTCTATCAGCAGAGTACTGTGCTTCAGCACGATGTGCTAAGGCACACGAGCTTCACCCTAACCCTCTAGGCAAACAGTGCAAATCCATACTAATGGGGAGCAGCAATGCACGCCCACCGGCGGTCTCTCACCCTAGGGAAAAACCCTTTTCTGAAAAGGCGCACAAGTGCGAGTGCGTGGACATGCATTTACCAAGTGGCGGGGTTGGTGCTGGGAAGCTGGTAAAAGGTAACAGCTAGATCACCCCAACCCCATCACCTCCCTGCCCCTCCCCTCCCTACCCGCTGACCCCCACCCACCTCCAGAAGTCCAGCACCTGGTCTGAAAGGCGCTTTTTAAAAGAACAATTCACCATCTCGAAAGCGTTTCAGTAAAATGCTCAAACTCATGCCAGGCTGTCACCCACTGACTGGCCAGGCTGGTCAGGAGGGTGCTGCAGGGAGGGCCCCTTGCCATTTCCTGGGGGAGGGGCTCTCCCACACACTGTGAGGCAGTCATCAAGCATCTTTAGCTTCAGAACTAACTGGAAACCATTTAAAGTACTCCTCCCGGAGACTGTAAGAGTGAAAGCCTCTAGACATTCCCTTATTTAACGTTAGTCTCGGGCTCCCTCTTTGCTGGACTGAGAAGCGCTCACAAGGATGGAGAAGGCTGGAGAGAGGCCTCCACTCACAGTGTGGCAGGGTCTTCTTTACAAGGCTGTTTTTGTTTTTGTTTTCGAGGCAGGCAGCAGGTGGGGGAACCACTGAGCTAAATCCCTGGCCCTTTACAAGGCTGTTTTAAGACTCTCAGAAGACCCTCTGGGCTTGTCCAGTGTCCCAGGACACGGTGTGGCACCAAAGCAAGGTGCACAGTGGGGGAGGGGAGGAAGCGTTTAATAGGTTGTTTCCTTTTACAAGTTTACGACTCTAATCCACACTAATTATAACCCCAAACTGGAATGTATTGTGTCCTAGGCCATTGGGGCAGCTTATAATCATTATTCCTCTGAGGTGAGGGAGAGGCCAGCAGCCTCAGGGTCTGGTGAGTCTGTTCTATGGCGTCTTCCAGCTCTTCAGAGCAGCTTTTACAAGGATGCTAACCCCTTCGTGAGGGCTCTGTCCTCAGGGCACTCCCCAAGCCCATCTCCCAAATCCACACTGGTGGCTTCAATTCACACTAAGGGTGGGGGTGGGGAGGGAGAGAGACAGAAACATGCAGACCACAGCAGAGGCCACCACATCCAAAGCACTGTGCACATAATACTTACCGTCTACAATGCTAACCCACTTGATTTCAGTTGTACATGACATGTATGCTTTTGCAGTAAACAAGATTACTATTTTTTTTTACATAAATAGGTAAGTAAATACACTGGATTCTATCCTTCAGTTTACTGACTCTTCCTCCCTTGGGACAAGAATCAGGGCCTTGTGCATGCTAAGCACATGCTCTACGACTCGGCTACACTCCTAGCCCCTTTAAAAATATTATTTGGAGACAGGTTCTCACTAAGTTGCCAAGCTCTTCTCCAACTGGCAATCTTCTTGCCTCAGTCTTTTAAGGAGCTGGGATTATAGGGGTGTGCCACCGAGTCCAGTTAAGACAGCAAAAGGGACTAGGGACTGGGAATTGAACCCAGGGCCTTCACACTGAGCTGCATCTCAAGTTGTTTAATTTTTGTTTTGAAACAGGGTCTTGCTAAATTGCCCAAGTTGGGCTCAATCTTGGGGTACTTGTGCCTCAGCCTCCCAGAATGTTAGGATTACGGGTGCATGTCACCACATCCAGCTAACAAAGGACTTTAAATAATGAATTTGTGATTTTTCTTGAGATGCAACAGTTGGCCCAGACACGGGCACATCTGAGATAGCTGCTTTGTACACAGGAGATGAGAAAATGGAGGTTGAGGGTTCTCTGTAAAAGTTCCATGGAAAAAGATCAACCCAGGTATGAAACAAGCTAACAGCCCTGTCCTTCCTGTCTTTGTTGGTAGCCCTGTCTTGCCATCTTGAATTTTAAAAAATGTGATCTACAGATCCAAAAAGTACAAGGAAAGAAAAACCCTGAGGTCTGAAGGCAGCCCAGAAAAACCTGAAGGGCCAGAAAAAAGAATTGATATAATTAAAGGTTATGGAGGGCAACCTTTAAGTAGGAAGCAGCCCAATAATTTATGTTACCAGAAAATACATAACAGGTTACTCACACCGCTGCAAAACCACCTCAGTAAGACTCTACCACACTGCACCTTGAGTGAGTAAGGCATTTCCTTTTCCTGCTCAGCACAGCACACCAGGCCCCACTCCTACCCCACCTGCTTGTTCTCTTCTTGGTGGAGTTGCAGCGTCAGAAATCCAAGGCCAGGCCAGAGGGAGCCACTCTGCATACCACAACTGAAGGCCAAAACGGCCACACCCTCAGCACACTGTTTCTCTCCAGCCTCTTTTTTTGGGGGGTGGGGAGGGGTGGCTGGTTGGTTTGTTTAATAGATCTAGTAGACCAGGAAATGCTGAGGCTTTTCCAAAAACTGTTGTGAACTCAAAAAATCTTTAAAAAGAAATGAGATCATATGAATTAAGTCTCTCAGGGTAATAAAGTTACAGAGCTCTTTATTTCTACTGGCTAACCTAAAGAGCCTTGACCAGTCACCCTGTAGACAAACCAAATATGATACAGGGTGGTGGCTCATTGGGAAAGCTTATCAGGGCTCAGCCATCAATCAAAATGCTGAATGCATTCCAAGTGCATAATTGAAAGACTAATCTGAGGGTTTTCTCTCCCAAAGGAAGTATCGCTGTGACTCATTCTTCCACTTGCAAGAATTTTCTTAATCCACTGTCAGTAAACACTGAACTATATACAAAATCCTAAAATAAACTAGACTGGGATGAAGAGAAATCACTCTGAGAGCAAGGGGAATTTTATGCAGTGGACAAAAGGTAATATCTTTCCTCCATTTCATTTCTTCTGATATATTTGGGCTTCAAACCAAAATTTTTTGGGGGGAGTGGATTCTCTGAATTCTGAAACACTCTCATGTTTCAACTTTACTGAATGTCCCATGTTGAACTTGATATATATTTCTATCATCTCAGTGCCAAGGCTGGGATGCTGCACTGTAGGATGCAGGGCAAGGCTCAGACCAAGGAGAGGAAAAGAACTTGAGAAAACTGCACAGAACAGATTCTTGTGTTATCTCCCCACTTTGTAAATGTTTCTCGAACTAGAATATAAGAGACAATGAGGCTTAAAGATATGGCACAAACAGGGCATAGAGACTGACAGTTGCAGGGTTAAAGTCACGTAGAAGTATAAAATTAATACTTTTCTTTGGACACACGCTGCTGTCTCTGAGTTTACAAAAGTGATGACCAGCAATGCTGGCAAACAGCAGAAATGAATCTGATTCTCCCCGGGCCCTGCCCATGGTGTCACCCTCCACACTGCAAGCACAGCCGAGTGATGTGCGGAAAAGAATCCATTACTAGGACGTTTCTTCTCTTCTCCACTTCCCTTTAGTACCCATGGATATGCAGCACCTGGTTTCTAGCGACACCATGTACCAACTGTGCCACAGTAAATATCAGGAAGTCCATCACTCTCAAGCCAAAATGTGCTTACACAGGAAAATATTCCCCTAAAGAAAAAGGTGTGCTGGGAGAAAACTTCTCAAAAACTGTCCATGTACATGACTGCTGTTGGTGATACTTCGAGCCTCACTGATTAGCAGTCAGTAAGACACTGGAATGTTCTGACTGAAAGCTATCCCAGTATTCTAGACATCTTTAAAAATTAATTTTATTGGTATCCTTTGACATACATAATGATCACATTCATCACAGGGAATCTGTACCTGTATGTAACGGATCTGTTTTTCCCCACTCCTTCTATCTCTTCCCTTCTATCCTTCTTCCTTTCTCCCTTTACAAAACGTTGTTTCTATTGTAGACATTTTAATAGGGTAAAGTTTTTGGTACAACATGGTAGAAAGTGCTCTAAATTGCCAGAACTAATCTGAATCACCAAAATAAGCTCACAAGATATGGAAAATGTAAGGGGTTACTTTATATCAAGATTTCTTAAATCAGTGAATATAAAATAAATACAATAAACAACTAGTATATTATTTGTGTTAAGTGCAAAATAATAGATGAACTTGGCCAAAATGTCAAGCTGTGCAGGAGACAAATGTCTGTAATAAAAAGTTCTTAAACTACCCCTACCCTATTCGATTCTACTTCTGCCTTTATCTTTCCACACCAGATTTTGCTTTTACACATCTTTCTAATAAAATGTGAGTATATGTGCTGCCGAAGCGAGCACATCTTTCTAATAAAATTAAGTGTTTCTCTTTTTGGACGAAGAGTGGGTCTGGCTGAATTGTAATGGGGATGAGATACATGTAGTGCATCTTTAAAATTTAATGGAAAGGTCTTCAGTCTTCCAATGATTTTAAAGCTTTTAGTTTTAGCTAGACTATAAACTCAAGACCCCTTTCTTTGCTAGAAAATGAGAGACTGCTCTTTGATGAACAGTCCGAGCTCTCCTCTTAGCTCTATAACAGACTGTGACAAACATAAACACCCAGTGGAATTTAATTATCACCAAGAGAGGGAAAACAACAACAAACTCCACAGAAACCAGAATTCCTTAGGAGGAAAACCCTACTGCCAGCACCAACTGGGGTCAGCAGACCCGTGGACCTATCGGC